TATAACTGCATTCCTCTTCTATTCTTTTAGCTGTAGCTTCTATAAGCAAGCAAGGTTGCGTTGACCGGTCCGTTGAGCCGGGGGCACTGCTCGTCCGGGGAGCCGCTCCCATGTTTTCTTTGTGTTTGCCGGATAAGTTAGTCCCTCCCTGCGTTGTGGCGATGGGCTAATGCTAATGCTAATAAATGCTAATGCAAGGAATACGCATAAAATGGTGGCTTCCACAAAACCTTTTGACGTTTACGGGGCGTGGTTTGCAATCCGCCCAGCCAATCAGACATAGGAATCTTGTTCTCCCACGAAAGTCCCTGCTCTCTAGCAGGGACGGAAAAGGGGGTGAAAAGGTTCTGATTAAGTCATTTTAGTTCCGGCTCTTTTTGGTGTGAAAGCGACATTTCGGAACTATATCGGAACTAAAGTGGGAAAAGTACTGCGGTGTGAACGCGGCTATTGGTGCTCTAGGAGGAGATTCAGGTGATAAGGTGGGGGGGGGGTTACCTTGGTTGGTGATTGGCTAATGGTTACACAAGCCAAAAAATCGTTATGACATCATAAAGTGGCCAAAATCTGATCAGCTAATTTTCAGACAGGTTTTTATAGAAATGGATCAGGACAAAAAGAGAGAGAATCTTTTTCCTGAAACTTTCAGAGTCTCTTTCCACATGTTGATGTAGAAGAGACATGAAGAAGTGGATTTTGCATAATAGGTGACCTTTAAATACATACATGATCTATCAAGATGAGTAATGCAAAATTGTAAAAGATACTTGGTTAAAGTACTTTATTACATTTCACCACTGGAAAAATAGTCTAATAAGAAAACAGTTGCCACGGAAAGCCTTTCAGAGCAAGCAGACTGCACAGCATGGTCCTGGGCTAAAGTCACAGGGAGGCCAATCACCACCTCCGTCCATCCTCTGTGCAATTGATCCAAGCTTTGTCAGGTCAGCCCTGTCAGCAAAAGAGCAGCCTTTCCCATCTTCAAACAGCTGTACACACAAAGCCGGGGGTGGGGTAGACGTCCACCTGAGGCTAGTACACCACTGAGAGCTAGGAATTACTAAAAAACTATCTTTTATTGGAACATTTCTCTTTCCTAATAGGGGATTTGGCAGATAACGTGCAGAGAAGTCTCTAGGTCTGCAAAGCTCAACCCCCTGCCTGGTTGGAGTCCCAGTGCTGTTACATTGACTAATAGTCTCCCTTCATTCTGCTGCTCACTGAGCCCAGACCCTCCTCCTCTTGATGCTTATTCATTTTCCGCCTCCGAAAACAAGCACACAGCCCACTACCCAACATGCTGAGTAATCAATAAGTGTAAAAGTTAAGGAAAACCACACTGACTAGGCTTTTTGTTGTGTCTTTTCTTTCTGAGCAGTACCAAAGCCTGCCTAAGTGGTGCATGGTAATGTGACTGATATAACATTGTATTCTCTCTAGGGTTAGGGTTAGGGGGGGCAATGTCAGTCAGTCAGAAGGTCCGTCCTTCATTTAATTGGAATGAAATATCTCTTTCATGGATTGCCAAGGCATTTTGTACAAACCTGATTTTCTTGATTCTCCGACATTTACTCTAAGGCAGGGTTGTCACACTCAATTTCAACGCGGGCCACATTCGCATAAAGGTTGCACTCAAAGGGCCGGTTGTAACTATATAAATATATATATAAAATGTATTATATTACATTATTGCCTCTGAATTGGATTATTATCGGATAGGATAATAACTTAGTAATTAATTACGTCTGAAAGCAGAAATCCAGGGCAAATAATTGCAAGTCTCTTCAGTGGCATGTCACAAAACAAGATGCATTGTGGGACATGTAGTTTATGGGCAACGTGCTTCTGTAAATCGGCATGTAACCATAATAAACATTTTATATTCTTTGCAAGCTCTTGCGGGGCAACATAAAATGAAGTCGCGGGCCGGATTTGGCCCCCGGGCCTTGAGTTTGAGACCCCTGCTCTAAGGCTACCAGCGGGATAAACACGCAATAGCACATATCACAACAACAACATTGTCTCTGACCCCAATCATGTCCTAAGCAGTGAATATGAACTGCTCCCCTTGTGCACCAGTCACTCCTTAAATTAAATACAGAGATAAATCCGAGGTCGAATCTACGTCAAAGGGTCTTGAATATTGTCTTTGGTGATTGTAATAGTCTGTTGCTGGTATCTTGAATTGTCATGTGTCCCTGTTGATGTTGCAAATGGAGCTGCTGTGAAGCAAGAACAAATTCTATCTGATACAAATATTATTCTATCGTAATTATTCCCCTTATCAAATTAAATATTTTATTTTAGCCTAGCTCTATTGGATTCAAACCCCCTTAGAGGTTTGGTATCACTTTTGATTATCCTGACTTCTGGTCCATTGTTTGAATTTGTTTCAAACTTTGGTTGATGAATAAAAGGCTGTACAACTAAAAGTGATATCAGCGGTATTGTTAACTAATGTATTCGGCTGCTAAGAAAATATAGTCATGCTAACATGCTAAACTTAGATGGATCATGATAAACATTATTCCTGCATATCATTAGCATGCTAGCATTTTCATTTTAAGAATTTAGTTCATAGGGCAACTGTGTTACAGTTTTTTTTACTCTCCATTTTCTGTTTATTGTATGTGTCTTTTAGGTATAAAGTATTTTATTTATATTCACCGATTACTCTTGCAAAAATGCACCATTCACACACTGATTCCTACCCTGATGGCTTCCATCAGGATCTAATCTAATGCTCATTCTCACACACACTCACACAATAATAGCTTTCCCACCTAAAGCAATTTGTTGAATTAGTTGGTTTAAAGCTGCATTAAATGTTAATGTACCATCATTAAAGGTGGGGTAGGTAAGTTTGAGAAACCGGCTTGAGATACACCTTTTGTTATATTCCATGGAATGCTCTTAACATCCCGATAGCAAAGAATATCTGAAGTGCTTTGACAAAAAAAACATAAATAAATGTCATCTGTGGAAGCCGTGGTGCTGTAAAAAGCTCGACCAATCATCTGAGCCGGCCCGGCTGAAGTAACTGGATGGCCTACCTGCCTGTCAGCCTTCCATCTGTGCACAAACTTATCTCGTGCCCTCATTGGTCATGTGCGCGTTCGTGTGTGTTGGAGGAGGGGCTCTGTAAGGAAGTGGCAGATTTTCTCCGGTTGTGTATTTTAAATTACCTACCCCACCTTTAACATTTTAAAACTGGTCATTCTTTCTGCCTTTTGAAGAACTAAGTGTCGTTCCAAGTTCATACTGAATACCGTTCAATGTGTTAGACCTCATAGAACATTTCAATAACTGTAAGAAAGAGCTGCATATAATGTGATAAAGAATTGCATGTTAAAGGATGTATGCGTCCTTACTTTAACACACACGAAGCAGTGAGGCTTAAGTCAAATGTATGCGACATGCACTTAATAATTTGAGTTAGGGTTATTTTTGCATTTTTCATTGAAAAAACTATACTTGCCGTCTGTGTTATCAACTGTATGTGTTTTTGTAAATCTGCAACCTCTGGATTGTTGGTCGTACTTTTTGTCCTCATCTAAAACATGAATCTATGTGTGTGTCTCCAGCTCCTCTGCGCTACAAGACCATGACCATCGTCTGGATCTGCATGGCCTTGGTGTCCGCCCTGGTCACCTCCATGGCCATCATCATCTGCAGGAAACGGCAAGGCTACACTTTACCACACTACCCATCGCTGCTGTGTGTGGAAAACTTTCTTACGCTATCGTATCTCTCTGTGTATTGTTTCTTGTGATCAAAGCCCCTTGTGCACTGTGTTTCTCCTGCTTTCCCCACGTTAAGTAATGGCTCAGGAACAATGAGAATAACATGTTAGACTCAGCATGAAAATCCCTATGTAAATATATTTTGACTGTGTGCTTATGCCAATACTAATATTGGCAGAAATAACAAGTAGTTGATAGCAGAAGCTGCATACCTTTTCTGGGGTTATGAATAAATAAAACAGCCTAAACCTGAGTTTTAGTTTTTAAAAACAAAACTCCAACTGAGCTTCCTGTAGGGATAAAGTAACTCCATGGAGTTGCCAGTCACACAGAATGATAAGTTAGTCTCCAAAAATAGGGCCTTCCTTGAGGGGGTTATTTCTGTTTTCATCTTATTTTTGCAGGTTCCAATGTTCCCAGAGTCCTTTGTTTCCAGGGCCCTATGATCGAGGGGTCCTATTTTCCCCAGCTTTATATACAAACCTTTTGAAAACGTTTACAGTGTGTCGAAATAATATTAAACCAAGGAACATACAACGTTGGAAACATAGGGCCTTGGGAACATTTCACTATGGGAACATTTCACCTTGGGAACATAGGGCCTTGGGAACATTTCACTTTGGGAACATAGGGCCTTGGGAACATTTCACTTTGGGAACATAGGGCCTTGGGAACATTTCACCTTGGGAACATAGGGCCTTGGGAACATTTCACTTTGGGAACATTTCACCTTGGGAACATTTCACTTTGGGAACATTTCACCTTGGGAACATAGGGCCTTGGGAACATTTCACCTTGGGAACATTTCACCTTGGGAACATTTCACCTTGGGAACATTTCACCTTGGGAACATTTCACCTTGGGAACATTTCACTTTGGGAACATAGGGCCTTGGGAACATTTCACTTTGTAAACACATGTCCTTGGGAACTTTTCACCTTGGGAACGTCAAATATTGGGAACATAGAGCCTTGGGGACAAATAACTTGGGAACACAGGACATTGGGAACATAAAGCATTGGTACCATAGGGCCTTGGGAACATTTTACTTTGTAAACACATGTCTTTGGGAACTTTTCACCTTGGGAACGTCAAATATTGGGAACATAGAGCCTTGGGGACAAATAACTTGGGAACACAGGACATTGGGAACATAAAGCATTGGTACCATAGGGCCTTGCGGACAAATAACTTTGGAATAGGGCCTTTGGAACATATAACTTTGGGAACATTTCATCTTGGGAACACAGGGCCTTGGGGACAAATAACTTAGGAACAAAGGACATTGGGAACATAAAGCATTGGTACCATAGGGCCTTGGGAACATATAACCTTGGGAACATAGGGTCTTGGGAACATTTCACTTTCGAAACCTTTGTCCTTGGGAACAATTGACCTTGGGAACACAGGGCCATGGGAACATATAACCTTGGGAACACAGGGCCCTGGGAAAATAAACGCTCCCCGATTTTTTTAATTAAAATTATCTTTACTCTCCTTTGTCATGTTGAAATGTTCAAAATGCAGGAGCCAACACAACATCTGATTAATTAACTATCAGTTATAAGAGTCATGATTAGAGAGGAGTTTTGTAAACCAATGATTTAGCTTCTCTCTTCTCCTAAACACTCCCTCTCACTGTCTCATTTAGCAAATTTCAGAATGTGTAATTTCCACCTCAAAGTGGATTTAATTATGTTAATGCATGTCCAGTAGCTTGAAAGCCAAACGGTCCCACTTATCCCATCATCCCCCCACCCTGCTTCCTCTCTTCCACCTACATCTCTGTAGTACTGCATCAAATAATTAATTTCATTGGATGTAATTAATTCATACTTCAATGCATATTAAAATTTCATTACCATTCTGTTTGAGGGGGAGAACGATGTTGGGGGATTTAAAGATGTTATCCAGGAAAAATCAGCTTGTCATGACTGCTACGTACATTATTATTAATGCTCCTATGAAATATCACAAAGATGAGGAAGGTGGGCCACTTGCCAAATTACTATTAAACTGATGAGAAAATACAAACAACTCCCTAAGAAAGTTTGACTATTTACACAGGAGGTGAACCTGAATCCTAATGGGAAAATACTTTACAACACTGCAGATAAAATAAAGGATCACATTATTAAGTTACAAATTACATTGTTATCTTTATAATAAAAAATAATGTGCTTATGCTCGTGGTAAGCTATCACTTAACCTCTTAAGCCCCAATAATCTATGGGGGCCCCCCCAACGTAATTTACAGTTTTTTACCATGTTCAATCTGCATTTTCTTTAAATTAAAAAACATCTATATTGATTCTGACTTTTCTACATCCAACTCACAAGTTTATCATTACTTTGAGAACAAAGATTATTAATTTAACCCTTTTAGAAGGGAAGATATGTCATTTGTTCTGGGAATGTCATTTTCGAGCCTGAGACCTGAACAACAGGCTCAGGGTTGAACAGCCTAAAATAGTATTTACTGGAACGCTAGCATTGACACTTATGGATGACTTATGCCTCTATATCCTCACTTTATGAGACAATTTAGCTGATTTAGTAGCTGATTAGTGTCCAGAGCTAAGGAATAATACCAATAATGCATTGTGAAAAAACGATTTATTGATAAACTGTATGTATAAGGAAAAAGAGCTAAATCAACATGCTACAAGTCTAAAGTATTTAGCAGCACACATGGTTATATATTATATTTATATAACACCTTTAAAACAGAGTTACTCAGAACTTTACATAAAAACAGATCACAATTAATTACAAAGATTGAAGCCATTCTAAAAAAAGTAGTCAGAAATGTTTTACCCCACTGCATTACTGTACATAAAGGAATTCTTAAATGATTATTAAACAAACCAAAATGACCCTATTCCTAGTGTTTTGGAGTAGTAATGTTATTTGTGCAGAGTCATGGGAAATAGCTTGAGTGACTGATGCTACATTCTGGTTGTAGCTTATATAGTAGCTTACTACTTTTAACACAAAGGTAGTATTTCTGTATTTCTTACTGCTTCACTTAGGAATAGTTTATGGCTTCACCGGATACAATTTCAAAGTATAGATTCCCCAACATCGATGATATGTGTTAACAACCTTTTTCCGTCTCTCCTGAATGTCTTTCCGAGATGTGTTTATTGTGCCTTCTTATCATAAATATTGATGTCTGTTGTTCTAACTTGAAAACATGGAGGAATAGAGAGTCGATTAACATAAAATGAAGGATCTTGTTAATAATAAGTTGAATGATTGGTTCCACATTGTTGCAAGTGGAAAACCTAATTAACAGGGAGAACAGCTGACTGGTTGTTCTTTATAAATAACTAACAATCACTTGTGATGAATAGCTCTGTTGAAGTTAATATTTCATTAATAACATGTATTGACTAATTAATTATGAGCTTGATAGTCCAACATTGTCCTGTATTCATGTGTGTGTGTGTGTGTGTGTGTGTGTGTGTGTGTGTGTGTGTGTGTGTGTGTGTGTGTGTGTGTGTGTGTGTGTGTGTGTGTGTGTGTGTTTTATACAGACACTGTGGTTACAGCAAAGCCTTCCAGGACTCTGATGAGGAGAAGATGCATTACCAGAACGGTCACGGTATGTTTAGCCCACGCCTCAGTTCCAACCAATATATATCAATTTGATTGCATCCCCATGTATTGCATTAAAGTTCATCGTTAGAGAAAACACATTTCATAACTCGCTGAGTGATAACAGGGGCACACAGGCCTTATTTCCTGCAGGCTGTTTATTCTGCGAGTCATTTCTTCTCTTTCATCAACCCCCCCCCCCCCCCCACACACACACACACACAAGTGACATGGGGCTCAGATGTGATGTTGTTCTCATTCTCCGATATGTGACCAAATGCTAATTTTGTTTATCTTAGTGTCGTTCCCCGACGCGAGGTTTTATATCGACCCGCACACATACGAGGACCCCTGCCAGGCGGTCCACGAGTTCGCCCGAGAAATTGAAGCTTCCAGGATCAAAATAGAGAAAATCATTGGCTCAGGTAAAACCGTGTACACACACACACACACACACACACACACACACACACACACACACACACAGAGGGAAAATCATTGGCCGGGCTAACTTGAAATCATTGGCCGGTGTAAAGGCTGTGGTGTGCAGCAGAGAGGAGGATGGCAGTAAGGAATCAGAGCGTTTCGTGGAGCTGTCAATCAAAGTTCCTCCGACGGGCGAAGAATACTAACACTGTGTCAGCGCCACAATATATGACTCCTGCAGACATAACGCCAAATATTCAGTATATCATTGAGAAAAAACAAACAACAGCAATCATACTTAAAGTTCTGCTGGGCTCCAGATAAGAAGTAATGAGAAAGAGGCTCATGGATGATTAGCTTACTTCCAGTTTTGCACATACATGTAGCCGGTAAGTGGATTTGTTTCTCTTATCTAACACAGAGATTTAACTTCCTGTAGTCCTCTGGTAGAGTTTGTGATTAGAAATATTTTCAGTCGCAAAAATAACCATTACCACAAAAATAACATGGATGGTTTCATATTATGTTTTTTGTAAGAATTAAGATCGCTTCTTTCATTAAGTTGTGCGTGTTTCATTTACATTAAAGCATTCAGTGTCATTATGTCCTGCCATTACATTTTTATAAATCCTCGATAAACGTTGACATCTACCACTCTCATAATCCATCAAGATATGTTCCTTTGATCTTAACTATTGTACACGTCCAATGTTTGCCTTTTGTTAACTGGGTTTAAATTAGGTCCTTTGATCATAAATGCAAAGAAAGATTCGTAAAAATTGTGGTAATGAGTTGGAATGAAGTTGGATTTAAATGTGTAACCCAGATTAACGTGATTATTTATACAATAGGCTACGATAACCAGGACAAACATTTCACAGTAAAGGGGAAAACAAAGACACATTTACAATATCTGCTTATGAGTTGGGGGTGAATCTGAGCACATTGCATGTTGAATACAGATTAAAAAATGTCAATGTCTTATGTGCCTAAATTGGGATCATTGTTGTGTTTGTGTTAAGGTGAATTTGGGGAGGTGTGTTATGGACGTATGAGACTCCCGGGGAAAAGAGACATCCCAGTGGCGCTGAAGACCCTGAAGGCGGGATACACGGAGAAACAAAAGAGGGACTTCCTGGCGGAGGCGTCCATCATGGCTCAGTTTGACCATCCTAACGTCATCCGCCTGGAGGGGGTAGTAACCCAAAGTATGATTTATAACCTGTCTCTACAAGTTATAGTTAGGACAGAACACCTGGAATATTACTGATCAAGATAAATAATAATTAAAAACAATATAAGTCTACATATTCAAGCTCACAAGCCTCATAACATTGTTTAGGGCTACGGCTACACTGCAAAAACGCCCTGTAAAATTTAAGGCCAAACGTTCTAGATATAAGCATGCTGGCACTTAAAACAAGCACATGTGGCTGCCAGTGCAGTAAGCAAATTTCACTTGATAAGATGTCTTAAAACAAGTCAGGCTGTCCGACTGTCATTATAGCCCATAACATCTTGAAATAAGATTAAAAAGACTTCTGTATTGTGTACGTTTGTATTTGTTTCAGAATTCCATAAATCTCGTGTCTGACTAATTATATAATAGTAATATTATTGTGGAAATTTTGTCTCAATGAGGTCTTGAAATGTATTTGTCTAGTGTTTTTAATTCCTTTGTGTCTATGTTTTTTTTTCATCAGGTCTTTACAAAATGGGGTTGTATTTTTTTTTTTTTTCGCAAATGACAGTATTTCCTTAAGAATTTACTAATAATTTTGTTTTTGTGTTTTTACTGGGATAAGGATCACATTATTATTCTCATTACAATAAACACGTCTCAGTACCCTTTTTATCGAACTCACTGACTACGATGTAAGACCAAATCGCGAATATATCAGTCGAATGATGAAATTTATTTGTGTTCCATCATTAATTATTGACATAAGGAGTGACGAAGTGAATCCTTATCAAATACCGAATGTTGGCCTAGTTAAAGTTTCATATCTAAGGGGTTTGTGTCCTCTCTATTTCTATTATATGTGATAAAAATGTATAGATGTTTATGTTGACCTATTGTATATGTCTCTCTCCTACTTTACAGAAAACAGGTAAGAATAGTATTTATTTATATCTATGTATTCTTATTTTCTATTTGTATTTTACTTTGTCTCTCCTTCTCTTCTCTTGCTAATTGTATTTACTTCCTAGAACAATTATTTTCAACTTACTAACCAAGGTGTATATAACTTTATATTTTTGTTCTCTCCTTTTTGTATTAATTGTCCTTTTCTGTGTCTGATATTAATTATATGTATTATATTATTGTTTGTTGTTATACTACTATCTTATTCTTGTTCTATATCTTTCAATTATTATATTATGTAATTGTACATATATCCTCTTGTATTAATTACTCGTAATACTACTAGTGTAATTTTATGGTATCATAAGTACACAACACACACCACACACCACACACACACAAACACACACACACACCACACACAACACACAACACACACCACCACACACACACCCACAACCCACACAACACACACAAATATATGTCTGTGACACCAATGTCGTTTCGGAAGGGTTCCGTGAGACTACTCCTCCTTTCCTACGTAATGGTCTTGCCAGTGCCATACAAATCGCGGTGCGGAGTCAAGGTTTGGTTATATATTAGTAAACTAACGTGGGGTACATAACGTAATTTCAAGTAGCAATCTTTTTGTTGTAAAGTATTTGAGGCGACTCACTAATTGTCCCCGGTGGTGTTCCGGAATTAAAGGACGTCCGACAAATAAAGACGCTCAGTAAAGAAGAGAAAGTAGTGGGGGTGTGTGCTGTGTGTGTGTTCACTGTACCCCGAGTCCTACACTACAACAAGAGTAAGAGGTTATACCACTGGTTATACGATTAAAACAAATAGAATCACAGCAAGGGCTGCCTCAAAAATTTATAGGCTGGGCGTGCTGTATGCTCCGGGGACGGGTCCGCCAGGGTGCTCCAAGCGGTGCTCTTTAACTTCGAAGGTCTAGTTTTATCTCTTGTTAGTAACCGAGTTCCATTTTGGCACATGTGTGTGTGTATATTTATTATGTGTGTGTGTGTGGTGGTGTGTTGTGTGTGTGTGTGTTGTGTGTAGTGTGTGTGTGTTGTGTGGGGTGGTGGTGTGTGTGTGTGTGTGTGTGTGGTGTGTGTGTGTGTGTGTGGTGTGTGTGTGTGTGTTGTGTGTGTGTTGGTTGTGTGGTGTCTTCCCTTTTAGTAACCGGGCACCGGGATTGAACTTAGTTAACCGGCCACATTTCGACACCACACCGTCGTTCTCGCTCCTCCTAGCCGTCATTTTCCTTAGTCTCGGCAAAGGGCACGCTCGACAGTTAGTTTCTCTATAGGAGGCTTGTTTCTTCGTCTCTATGTATGTGACACAGTCTGCTGGTGTTGTTTTATATACTGAGATTCGCTTTTGTATGCTGTATAATATTTTGCTAATAATAGATACGTCTTTTTTGTTTGTGTCCTGAGTATAATTCAAGACGACCCGAGGTCTATTTTTCATTACTGCTTTCTCCGAGTACCTATAATCGAATGAAGGTCAAAACGTGTTTATTTGTTATTTCCTGTTGCCTATTCTTTTACCTAAATAAGTAAGTAATAATAGTATTGTGTCTCTAAATTGTAAGGACATCGGAGTACCAATTCTTCAAACACTAATTTTGTAATAAATTTGTCTAGTTGTTTTATTGTAAAGGTGTTTTTATTGTATCGCTCCAAAAGTATAATACAAAAAACATTCTTAATTCTAGCGAAGAAAGTAATTCAACACGCACAAAGTAAATGTAATTTCGTAAGTCACAGTAATACAGGACGGTAATGTAAAAATATTTAGGAGCTATTTGCAACTGTAGATGGTGAGAGTATTAGGTAGTTCTATACAAGGAAACTAGAATTGATAACATGTGCAGGTTACAAACGGAAAACAATTGACCCAAATTTAATCCAGGAAACTAGTATTTACGTTTCTTTCTAAGCATTTTTAACACCATTACTCAACCTTACTTCAACCTAAATTTACACATTGGGTCTAATTGCACTAATAAATATGTTATCCGATGCTATTGGTCCTGTTTGTAAAGTGTCATTTCCCCTTTTGTTTCTGTGTAAATGTTATAGACGAATACTCAACCCCCACTTAGACTCGTGTAACGTACAACTTATGTCTAATTTTTTACAGTTACAGAATACACGGATTTAACCCTAGTAACAACACAAACACAATTCCACTTAAACCCCTCCACACAATACCTGCATACTCTGAGGGCCCCTTTTCTCTGTAGGGTCACCGCGACTTCTGGGACTTCCGCCCTATGTGCCTCTTTGTTTTCTCCCTGAAGGACCGCCTCCGCAGGTAGTACCGAGTCAAACTGGTAGGATTGCAGTAGGCGGACCTCCCCCATCATTGGGTTTCATACTAAATATTGGACAGAGATGTTCAATATCAATCCTGTCTTGTGGACCTTATAATGACTAGTTCTATTTATTATTAATTTTTGTTATATTCAGATGTATAAGTTCGAGTGTTCGGAGTATTGTAACAAATCCCGATGCCGATGTGACGTTTTTGCGGGACATTTTAAATTCCGGTTTGCAAGATCTATATTCGTACGACCGTGAATTTTGTTCGTGTACACCGACGGTCACGTCATTCGTTTAAAGTGAACTATTCTACAGAATTTTGTTCAGTCCGACAGGCTGACAGTAATATCGGGTATTGTAGAACTTTATTCTAATTTTTCTGATTAAAGTTTCGGTTAGATCAATTCGGATAAAATACGTTCTTCTTCGGCTAATAGTGAGTTTTGATCCCATGAAAAAATCGTAGTTTAAATGAATTGTTACTCTAAATTACCTAAATCCCTCGCACACCGCGTCACCTATCACGCAAACCACAAATCCTATTCCCCCAGTGTCCAAGTTTGGGGTGACGTCAGTCCGTACAGCAGACACAGGGACTCTGTGAAGTGGGGTTTAACCAGGAAACCCTAACGGTGTCATAAACTCATACTTCCAACGGAAACCCTAATGGTCTTTTGAACGTTTTGCATCCGGAATTGTAAGTTTGTACTAGAATATCGTAGTGATTAAACCTTATAATTAAGAATCATCATTAGGGTTTCATTACGAAATAATTGGACAGAGATGTTCATATCAATGCCTGTCTTGTGGACTTTATATGACTAGTTCTGTCATTATTATTCAGATGAATAAGTTCGAGTGTTCGGAGTAGGTGACATTACAACAAAATTCCCAATCCCAATGCCCAACCCGTCTTTTGCGACATGTGAACTCAGGGAATTGTACTTGGATAATCTGTCAAAGAAAAATTACATAAACCTATAGTTAAAGGAACTTCAATCCCATTATACGAAAATTGTTGTAGAATATGTTGTAATGAATGTGGAATGCTAACTTACCGAAAGAGTTATTGCCATTTTGCCGTCTGTTAAACGATCCAGTACATTTCATTTTATATGGACTAGACCGAATTATATCTCTTTGCAACTGTCAATTGTCTACATTGTAAATTCCCCCTGTAAGACTGAAATACAAAGTGATTTGGTACCTGTTTTATTCATTGAATTAAATGTTAAACAACCATACCCTTGCATTAAATTTCCTGAACACAATGCCTATGTACAACTTGAGAGCAATTTACGACATGTATGTCAAGACAAGTCACATCTATACGGTCAGATAGTAGGCGGACCAAACGGATTTCTTTAATATTCATCCCTGAATCCCGACGAAGCTACTATCTGACGTATAGATGTGACTTGGTCTTGACATACAGTGTGTAAATTGCTCTTCAAGTTGTACATTAGGGCATTGTGTTCAGGAATTTAATGCCAAGGGTATGGTGTTTAACATTTTGAATTCAATGAATAAAAACAGTACAAAATCACTGTTGTATTTGCAGTTTAAGGGGGGAATTTACAATGTAGACATGCAGTGCAGAATTAAATTCGGTCTAGTCATATAAGAAATGAATTGTACTGGATCGTTTTAAACAACGTAAAAATGCAAAACTCTTGCGGTAAGTTAGCATTCCACATGCGATTACAACATATTCGTCGCAACAAATTTATGTATTAATAGGGATTGAAGTTCTTTAACTATAGGTTTATGTATTTTCTGCAAGATTATCCAAGTACAATGTCCCTGAAGTTCAACATGTCCAAAAGACGGGTTGGGATTGGGATTGGGATTTTGTTGTAATGTACCTACCCGAACACTTCCGAACTTATTCATCTGGAATAATAGATTGGACAGAGACTAGTCATTATAAAGTCCACAAGACGGATTGATAATTGAACGATTCTGTCCAAATATTTCGTATGAAAGACCAATGATGATTCTTTAATTATAGGTTAATTCTCGATAATTCTAGTACAAACTTACAATTCCCGGATCCGCAACCACCACGTTCAAAAGACCGCATTGGGTTTCGTGAATGTATGATTATGACACCCGTTAGGGGTGTTCCCTGGTTAAACACCACTTCACAGAGTCCCTGGTTGTTGCTGTACGACTGACCGTCTCCCCAAACTTGGACACTGGGGGAATTAGGATTGTGGTGCGTAGGTGACGCGGTGTGCGGAGGATTTTAGGGTATTAGAGTAAAATTTCATAAACTACGTTTTTTCATGGGACAAACTCACTATTAGCCGAAGAAAACGTAATTTATCCGGAATTGATCTAACGAACTTTNCCCAGCCAGAGCTTTAAGGTCGGCTGACTAGCTGCTAGGCTCTGGAACACTCTGCCCCTCCATGTGAGGTCGGTCCAGACCCTAGGTTTTTTTTAAATCAACACTAAAATACTCACTTCTCCCTGGCCTTCTAGTCAGAGCGGAGCACGACTCAGACTCCTGACATTTCCCTGTGTTTGATTTTTTAATTTGCTGTTGTAATTTATTGCCTTCTGTTTGCTATCGCAGTAAAGTGTTTTTTATTGCATTTGGCTCGACAAAAAAATCGTTTTTAAAAAAGTGTTGTATAAATAAAACCTGATTTGATTTTAACGGAATATTTTTTTGAAAACGAATTTGTTGCGTAAACGTTCCCGTGTAAATGGGGTCTTAACAACCTTAGTCAACGAGCTATAACTTAATTTTCAGTAAAACAAGCTAGACACTTTTACATTGTCTCTTTCTGCAGCTGAAGGAGAGACCAGTGGCAGGGACCGTGCAGGGCCAAAGAATCCAATATTTTAACAGTAGAGCCAAACAAAATCACTTCACAGATTAATGTAGGTAGTTTATATGTTGGTATAGCGCAACCAGCCACTGCTGAGGCTGAAAAAGGTACCGCAGCTAACCTCCTTCTGCACAGTGTTGATGTTGGTTCGACTTAAAAATTACGAAACAATCTGATGGCTTGTGTTTCAAGAAGCCAAAACAAAACTGCACTACAGTAGAGAATATGCGTAAATGTGGTTTATCTTGCTGCCCACCTAATATATCTGTGTGAGGGCTACAAGCCTCACAAACGAACACACATCTTAAAGTGTCTTACAGCTTACCTTGCTCCTGGCCAAAGGCTGAGCTGATGGAAAACACCTTTCTTTATAGATGTGTCAGCTAATTGGACTACGCCATTCCTCTCAAACCCTGAGGTGTGTTTAAAGAGGCCACTCCATTCAAGCCACCCCTTTTTAGAGCTTCTTCCCCCTGCATGCGACAATGGACTGACCAGTAAGTTCCTGCAGTGTGGAGATGAGAAGGGGTTATGTGAGTTGCTCTTGGGCAGAAGAGCACACAGTTTAGCTGCCCGGCTTATAACAGACAAAGATTCAATCTGAAAACTGCACTGGAACAACTCAACATCAAGGACATGGATTTCAAGGCAATATATGAAAGTAAATCAAGAAATGAAGCAAACAAGCTAATCTTCAAATTCCTCAAAAGCACTGGTCTGAGGATAAGGATTTAATATGAACATTTAATAACTCAACAGTAGTTGGCGATATATGCTCCAAGTGGAAGCGATTCGCCATTAAAGAAAAGAAGAAGAAGAAGAGCACACAGGATGTCACCCATTTTTGTGATGTTTTGTTTATGCATTAAATGCTAGATTGTGTTTGTTTATATCTACACCTTTTTTTGTTTAAACCGAATTGATTTTATTACCCATCTTAAGATTGTACATATATTGGGTAAATAAAATCCTTATTTTTGCACCTCAACCTGCATTCCTGATTTTTGCGTACCCTGGTCCTTCACAATCATCAAATCACTGATTAAAGTTCCTATTTTATGAATATGTCATGAGAATCTATAACGCATTCAGTTTATGCTGCACTATCAGGAGTTGCCCGGTATTCCAATAGGAAAGTTTAGCCATAAGAAAGGCAATCATTTGAAGTTTATAGCTCCAGCCAGCTAGACAGTTCAATTTTAGATTGTTCAATACAAACACTGTTATAGTAGCCCATTTGTCTACTCTACTCAGAGGCGGTAAAAGTATTCAGATCTTGTACTTAAGTAAAAGTAGAAGTATGAGAGGGTAGGATTACTCTACAAGTAAAAGTCCCGCATTCAAAAAGTTACTCTAGTAAGTATAAAGTTAAAATACTCATGATGATTGGTCCATTTCAGAATAATGACATTTTGATTATAATTATTGATGCGTTAAAGTGTTCTCAAAGCTGGTAAAGGTGCAGCTAGTTTTAATGACTTTGTATACTGCAGGGTAGCTGCTTCTGATTTAAGTGTTGATTATGTTTCACAATATGGTTTCACATCATTAATGCAAATCGGCAAAGTAACTAAAGGTATTAAACAAATGTAGTGTAGTAAAAGTACACAATTTACTTGTTGTGGATCTTAGTGGAGTAGAACAACAAACGAGCAAAACATGGAAATACTCAAGTAAAGTACAAGTATCTCAAAATTGTACTTAAGAACACTATTTGAGTAAATATCAGGTAAATATACTTAGTTACTTTACACCACTGGCTATACTATACCTTCATCTACGTTTTTTTTGTCATTTCCGGTAAAATGTCACCTGGGTCTGGTTTAAGCATGGGTTTAAGGCATTAGTCCACCTGTTGCTGACCTGTAGTGTGGCGGTTGTGGGAATCACAAAAAAGATTAACTGCTTCAATTGTAGTCCTGTTTTTTTTTGTATTGGTCCTATTTTCTTCAATAAACATCGTAAAGCTTTTACTTCAGCACAGACTTTTCCTTGGAACGAGTCACAGTGATTAGCCGAGTTTAGCTTCTCAAGCTAATTATTTATTTGGAAGCTAGCTAGATGTGCTACAATTAGTCCAAAAAAGATCGGCACAACAAAGACATGACTTCATGGACCGGATTCTAAGCTGACAGAACACATGGACGCTTGGGATAACGGAGTTTTACTTTCAATGGACATTATTGGAGCTTTTTAACTTTTCCCCCTCTGCAGATTGGAAAGGAAAACGCCTCAATTAGCCATGGCCGCGGCGGAAACGGATTGACTGCAGCGCATCACATCCACGTTTGTAATCCTTCTGTTTATGCTGTGAGTGTGTTTGAATCTATGGTTTGAATACAGTTTGGAAGTGCTGCCGCTTGTCCATTTCTGGACTGTTTTTGGCTTGTGTCGGTAGAAGTTGGCTGGTTGAAATAGCTGGAAACACTGTGTAGTAACATCGGCGAACACGGTTGGTTGGTTGGTACAAGTGAACGTAGTCTCAAGCAAACCACAAAGGCCTGGGCTTGCAAAGTTAAAACACTACTAACATAATTTTAAATTTGAAAAAGATGAGAGGGTCACACGTGCCAAGCACTCATGCTCTGCGTGTCCATATAATTGGCCAATCAGATGAAGCCAAAGCAGAAACTGTTCTTCCATGATGATATAAAGAAAAATCAGGAGAATAAGCTTTACAACGTGTCCTACACCCGTGTATAACAGTTTTCTACAGAAACAATTATTATATAATTCTGCAGTATAACTCCTTGCAAATAGTAGGCTAATGAATGAACACGAATGCATTAACATTCAGATAGATTAGTTCATTATTTATGAGCATTGGTTGTAACGTTCTTTGGTACAGCCAATGTCCGACATCGACATCTGCTGGTTAAGAAAGGGCAACGAGGGTCTATTTTTCATTTTTCTTTTTTGTTTATTGAAAATGAGGTTTGCCATACGATGTAAATAATGTCTAATAGACGTGTATTATTTATTTGTTTACAGTAAGATACTAATTCTTGTGGACAAATGAAGTCCTCGTCAATATTTAAAAACTCCCGACTGTCCCTTTTTAAATAGCCGAAATGACGTTCTCCATGGTACACGGGCTAGTGGCGCAACGGATAACGCGTCTGACTACGGATCAGAAGATTCTAGGTTCAAATCCTGGCTAGCTCGTTCCTTTTCCCCACCTGAAGATGCTTAGATTCCTTCTGCGTGTGCTGTGTTTGAATACAGTTTGGAAGTGAGGACTGTTTTTTGAGCTTGTGTTGTGCCTGCTGTTTATGCTGAGATCGGTGGAAGTTATTTGATATGTCACTGCAGTAGGCTATAGCTCCCTGCAATAGTCATGAATGCAACTAATGCACAAACATTTAGACATATTAATTAAGTATCTGTTTGCGCAAACCTATGGTGACCATAGGTTGTAATGTCCGTAGATACAGCCATGGTTGCAGTTGCAGCCTCTTGTGGATAACAAGGTCCTACAGCGACATCTGCTGGTCAATAAAGGCATAGTGGTGCAACGAGGGTCTATGTTTTTATTTCTAACAATGTTTTTTCTTTTGTTTATTGATACGTAGGATATAATACGCCACACGATCTAATGACTTGTTTTTACAGTGAGATACAACTTTGAGTCATATCGACCACTGGCTCCTTTAGTAAATACAAATACGCTGACTTTGGTCAAATACAGTCGGCACCCTCATATAAATTCGGGCTGTTTCTTTAAGAAGGCAAGATGACGTAGTATTTTTCCATCCGGGCTAGTGGCGCAACGGATAACGCGTCTGACTACGGATCAGAAGATTCTAGGTTCAAATCCTGGCTAGCTCGTACTTTTCCCGAACTAAAAAAACGAGTTTAGCAATGTTCTGTTCCCCTTTGCAGTATGATTTAAGCCAATACAACGAAATATGCAAACGTCTTAACAGTTTGGTTTCTCTTTCTCTTGACTCTATCATCCCTACAGTAATATACACTTATCTTAAATGTCCCTTCTGTGGGACTAATAATGGTATTTTGATTCTTATTCTTGTCATAAAACATTATTTCTTCTAAACACTACATGCTGTTAGAACTGTTAGAGAATACTTATATATGCAGAAAACTAGTGTTTAAAGTACAAAGTGTGTGACGTCATCGTACAATTCATCGGGCTAGTGGCGCAACGGATAACGCGTCTGACTACGGATCAGAAGATTCTAGGTTCAAATCCTGGCTAGCTCGTCCTTTTCCCCACCTTATTAAAAATGCGTCTACCTATGTTCTGTTCATAGTATGGTTAGGGGATTTGTACCGAAATATGCAAATGTACCAAATGGTTTGGTTTTCTCTTAGTCTCTCGTCGTTTTTCTCTATTATGTACAGGAGTATAACATTGTCCGTTCATAACATGTTTTTCCTTTCAAACAGTTATCTAAAAATATAAATATGTGAGACGTATTTTGTACTTAATTGTGCTAGTGGCTCCCTGCTAACTGTGAGTCGAGCTCATTCTTGGTATTGAGAGCCAATCCCCTCCCCGTCTGTTACCAAGATTCTACCAATAATTGACCAATCAGCGTATCCGTATACCTGGCGACTCTGCGGATAAATTATCTAGATATATTTTAAGTAAAGCACATGATGTTCAGGGATATTTTACTAACGAGTTGGGAACCGGACCACCTGTTTTTATTGTACCATTCATTTAAATACTAAACCTCACTTGTGAACTTAACTGGTGTCACCTCCATCCACCTCAGAAATATGCAAATGAACAAACGGTTTGTTTTTTCTCTTAGTCTCTCGTCGCTTTTCTCTATAATGTACAATAGTATAACATTTTCTTTTCATCAAACATTTTTCCTTCTATTTATTTAAAAATAAAATTGTGTGTGACGTCACCTTGTATCTCATCGGGCTAGTGGCGCAACGGATAACGCGTCTGACTACGGATCAGAAGATTCTAGGTTCAAATCCTGGCTAGCTCGTCCTTTACTCATTTTACCTCAGAGTAAAAATAATTTGATCCAGGCTCAACTTTATGTATGGTCTTAACACAAATGCATCGAGAAGATAAAAAAAACAACTTTGTATGTGTTTTACAAACTTTACAAAAATAAGTTTGTAGGTAAGACATCTGATCTTTTGCAATGAATTTATTAAATATGTTCCTTACAACACTCATACAGCACATATGTTAATGTTTGCGCTTCATCTTAATCTTCAGATGGCAATGAAATAAGCACTTCAAACAATCAAGTATTAAGTTAGTAAACTCAAGACATGAATAACATTTGCATGGCAAAGGTAGGCAAATAAAACACAGCAAATCAAATTAGTATTTAAAGGGTTTGCACAAAAGTCAAAATACAACAAAAGTAAATGATACAAGGCTATGGTATATATGTTTTTAAATAATAAGGATGCAAATGTAACAAAATACATAGATCTACAGGCCTAGTACAATACCAACCTCTTAGGTTCATAGGTGCATAGAAAACTCACAAATCTATCTCTAAGTGCTAAGAACAGTTAGCATTTGTAAATAATGTGTTTTTTTGCTACAGGAACATGTTAACCTTGTTCTCTGTGCATTCTTGCTCAGATTTGACAAAATAAAGTAATTCAAATGTTTTAAATGACTGTAATGGTAGGCCCTGAATCCACAAAGGCTTAGCAACCTGGGCATTATGAGATTGTTTAACATTTCTTTGGAATGGTCATGATAAAAAGTTCATATTTTATTCTTGCAGGAATTTGTATAAGAAATATAATTAGAAAATTATGGAATGAAGGATAGTTATGCTATGATTTTGTATATTCCTCATATGTAGGTACACATAAACGTTTGTTATTGCAATAGAAACTATATCATGAGTTGATTTTCCAATATCTTAGCTGGTGAGCCAACTGAACCATTAGACAGATTATGTATGGGTGAATTTGAATTGTAGTGTAAATATAAAGTTGAAGGTATCTAAACTGAGTTGTTTATATGAATTGTCTGTTGATAGTTACACAGCCAATGCAAATGATATTTACATAAAAAATCACATGGCAAGACTTCTGTAAAGTCCTTCTGTAGCAGGCAATGCTTAACTGTATCCATGTTAGGGCTTTGGTGTATTACAATACTTCATTATTGGGTCAAACTTCTTAAGGCATAATGGAAACTTCATAAACACTCCTTTGAAAATACAAATCAAACCAAAGTATGATCTGATGCATTGCATTAATCAATCCTCTACAACAAGAATTGCACGTTTCCACTCGGCTGTGGATAATAACACTTTGGCCTTTCCTCCACCAGGGTTCTCCCTCCACCTTCTGCAGGGTTAGTATGAGGCGGCTGCAGGGACGGGGGAGGAGCAGCCGGGCTCCATGTGCTTCAGGTGGCAGGAGTGGCAGAGGAGGTGTCCGTTCAGAGGGTAGCAGCGGTGACCCTCCTCGTCATTCAGCTCCATCTTACAGTCCTGAAGGCACAGAGGAAACAAAGCTGAGAAACATCCTCTGAAAGCTTACAGAAGAACAGAGGATAATTGGTCTCATTTCTGCTCTGTACTGACCTCATTTCCAACCACTGACAGATTGGAAAGCAATAATTACTTCTGAAGTGTGCAGAGAACATTCAGGATAGGTTTGATTTACATTCACAAAAAATATTTAAACTCCTCATTATTAGCCAATCTCAAAATTGTACATATGGAAGACAGAGCAAAAAGGCACAACCCTTAAAGGTGTCCTTTATCTGCCTTATGGTACACAATTTCATAAAATAAATAGACAAACATCTGACGTTGCTTTTCTTTGAGCCACTTCAAAAGATATGGCCTTTCAATACTTAAACGCAAATAAAATAGGTAGCTGCTCTAAATCCACTGATTTTTGTTTTTATGAAGTGAAAGACCAACATCTGCCTTTGGCAAAGGGAAATGTGCCACTTGAGTATAATGATGAGATGGAGATGATGAGGTAGATACCTGCTCTCCTCAGCAGTATGTCGTTACAGGCCAGACTGTAATTAAGATCAGGGATCTGCTCATTTGGATTTCTCTTAATGAGCCATTCAGCGGGGCCTGGCTCGCTGCCACTAAACTAAACTGTGAAACGGTAATGTACTTTCATTCAACCCACCTCACAGTGATAGCATTCCACATGATAGTCTTTGTCCATGGATACAACTCGAATGGTTTCATCAGACCCCTGGAAAGAAATTCAGACAGACAAACGCACTTAAAGGCACAGTCGCTAAAAGATATTCCACTGTCTTATTCTGACAAAAGCTTATCCAGATCTGTCGTCTCTATTCCATTGCATTTGTGGTTTAAGTGTTCGCCAATTATCCCAACAAGCATACTCAGTTGCTACACAGTCGGGGGAGTTTCATCACATTTTCTGGATTAACCATCGAAAAACAAGCTACAGCAAAACAGGGCTTGTTATTCACACGGGCAAACAAATATAGACACTGCAGGGAGGAGTCAATTATTTTTCAGTCATCTTTTACTGGTTATAATATTAGGCTGAGAGGAAACTCCCCTGAACATCCGTTACAACAGCCCCCCACCACAATACACACACACTCTACCTCTCCTCTAAATACATGCCTCACTGTTTCTCAAAGGGGAGGGTAGGGGACATTCCAGCGAAGTCAACTCTACTTTGGGACATTTCCCCGCTCCTTGTCAACACTTCACATCAAAGCCCAGAGATATTAGAGCTCACATTTTTCTGACCTATAGTCGAGTGTCTATATTGAACTGTCTGCCACTCACACAGCCACGCTCTGTGTCTGGGTCACTGAGTCTAGATAAGGATTTACAATCTGCTGAACTCCTGGTGAAAGGTTCAAGGTCATCAGGTAAAAGTGAACAGTTTTTAGATAGAGGTGTAAAACAGATTGATCATACTATGCAGGAATGAATTTAATATTCCTTCTGCATTGAGACGGGTCTTACTCTCCCTTTTCCTTTTACATACTTGACTTACAGTTTACACCTATGTTAATTACTATTTATTATTTCTCATTACTGTTTGCTTTCAATTCATTTGCAATCCTGTCTACTGAAAATATACCTTATTTTTTTATATTTTAACAATGTTTATATTTTAGAACATTTTATTGCACTATTTTGACTCTCGTTTTGCTTTTAATTGAAAGATTAGTTTTTGTAGTAAAACAGCCTTGTAGAAGGGATTCTGAGATCTGAGACTTTCATTGCTAGTGACTGCTTCTCTGTTATTTGTGTTCATATGATAACAATAAAGAACTTGCTAGAGGCTCTGACAGCGCTTTATTCTAAAACTAAAACACTGCCAGAGGCATGCTCCAACAAACCATATCATATACATATGGGTACACAATATAGAAAACTACTAGTGTTGTCCTCATCATCCGAGCATTAACTTATCAAAGCTTTAGATATCCATTTTCCAAATACTAAAAACGTAATCCCAGTGAGTGACAGAGTTTCAGTGTTTTCTTGGAACAAAACTATTCCTGTAACTAAAAGGATCTCAACCTGTGACAGATTTTGGAAAGGTTCAGCCGCAATAACTGTATATGAGAATTATGTCAAAATATGATAACACAGAAGATACGTGTGAGAATGTTTGGTGTAAGCTTACCTCTGAGGGCAGGATGGGCTGGTTACACGCAGCACATTTAGGCGCCAGGACCCTGGAAGAGCGCAGAGAAACACATTTTCATAAACCTGTTTGAACTTCGATCAAAACACTTTTCTCTCCACCTACACACAATTCATATTTGAGGTGTCTCTAAAGCTGTTGACCCTCCCTCCTTTCCCCCCGTACACTGAGTACGTTCAAGGTCCTGACTCAGCTCAGGAAATACCAGGTTCGCAGATGTGCTGGCTTTCTCTCACACACGTGATTCCCCAAATCCAGAGAGAAGTAGAAAAACAAAAAGCAAAAATGAATCCATATTTTCCACACAGATGGCTGGCACCTGGATGTCTGAGGGAATAACAAAGGGCCTCTCAGTGTGGATGGGCATGACTGTGGCTGAAAGTCAAACACACACTGTATACACAATAAGGTTTGCCTGATTTAATCAGTGTGGAGAACATGTGAGCGCTGCCAGTGCGCGGCCATGTTCCCGGCTGTGCTGAACATGTTGTCCCAGCAGGGAGAAGGCTGCAACTGTTGGGGTTAGAGTGCTACAGGTGCTTCTGCTGTTCACTTCCGCCTCTTCAAGTGGCTAACACGCACTTAGATTCATACCTCAGATGTTAGAAGCTCTGTTTTTGTCCTTACAGAGCATCTTGTGTTTGGATAAGAGAAGCTATGGCCGCACGCCACTCTTCACACCTCTAACTGGACAGTGCCCCCCCCCCCCCCCCCTCCCTGAATACACTTCTCATGTGTCTGACACGTGGCAGAGAGATTTAAATGACCCTTGTCGGCCAGATCCTGAAGGGGCCGGGGACTGAGCTGTCGTTCAACTTAGAGCAAGAAACCCAGACATTCTTTTCATGCTGAACTAATTCAACACAGATCAATCCTAATCAAAGGCTTGTGTTTCTTCAAAACACTGTCTTATAAGTAAGTGACACTCACCTGTGGTAGTCTTTCAGACAGTAGATTTTATTCTCAGTGTCCACAGTGAAGGGCACTCCGTCCAGGCTCTCGTTGCAGATGACGCAGCGGAAACAACCGGGGTGGTACGACTTCCCCAGGGCCTGCAGGATCTATTAAGAGAGGAATTAGGGAAATATAATGGTACATCAACCCTCTAATTCCTTCTGCTACTTCATATTGCCTCACTATCTGTATCCAATCAAATTCAAGTAGTTATTGTGTAAAAAAAAAACAGAATCTTTGCATTTGCAATAACTGCATTTGTATTGATCCCTGTGGGTATTATAGCCAAGAATAAAACAACACAGAATACTAAGGATAATATATAACAATGATTACACCTAATAAATACATCTAAAAGAAAAATCTATGAAGTTTTTTCAGTTTTAGATTTCTGCTGTGATATGGTTATGTTAAAAGAGCAGAGGAAGCAGAAACATTAAAACATCGTTATCACATCTTCTGGATAGAGATCATGTGGGCACCCATGTAGAAAAAATTCCTTAATAAACTGTGACACTTCCTGTCTTGATCACATGATTGTCGTGTGTGTGTGTGTTCTGTTTTGTCCCATGAGCCTGTGTGAGTGTGTATATGTGAGACAGAATGGGATGCATGTGCAGAGCAATGCTTCCGCCTGAGTCTTTATCCAGATGTGCCCACAGAAGATGAGGTAACTCAACATTTCTGCTGACGTCACCTGGCCTGGACAGGCACCCACACACAAACACACGTACACACACAAAAAGGACACACAACCGGAGAGAAGTAACAGACACTCACCATGTCCATGATCAGATGTCCACATGCGTTGCACTTGTCTGCAGACTGCTGGAACCCAGAGTACTTCAACAGGCAGAGAGAAGACGACAGTGAGGTCATTGGAATTTGGTTATTTCATGGATGACTCAAATCTCTCCGACTCTTTTTAAGACCAAACTGCTTCAAAATGTCTCCCAGGAAAAATCCAAAGTAGCCTATGTAGTGTGCTAAAACACTTGCTTAAAACTGATTTAAATAACACATTTCCTTCTAACAGAACAAAAAAATTATAACTGCCAGTACAGTTTGCGAATGTGAATATGGTGTAATTCCTCAGCTTTGTTCTGTGTTAATATGTGTGAGCGGTGTCGGTGAGGAGAGGCCACACGGACTGGCCTGGCAGCAGAGCAGATGTCATTAACAGCACATAGAGGGATAAGAGCCAGAGCACATTTTATTCAGTATACATTTTGATTTTAATTGAGGGCTCATGAGATAAAGACACACAGAGCTTCTGATGGAGGGAATATGAGGGTGAGTTGGCATACAAATATGGGGTTTCAATTTTGTTTAAAAAAGATTTTCTATATTTATGCATAATGAATGTTTTTCCATTTTTGTAAAGAACCTGCAGTGATTTGTGTGAACGGCCTGTCCGCCCTCTAAACCATAGCAACGCAGCTTCTCCAGTTACTGACCTTCCAGTTTGACCCGAGAGAGGAAACTGATAGGAATCGGCTGCATTAGATGCGAAAAAACTGGGCCACAAGGTCAATCCCTGTCCCCGATATTCTGTATTTACGTTGAAGGCTGACAGGTTGATATTAGGTTGCATTTAAGTGTTTGAGCAACACCTGTTTGAAGCAAAAATAGCATCTTGTTATTCGTAAAACTGAAGAGATTTGTAAAACTTGAGACGATAGAGATGTGGCATACAGCTCAACAGGTATTGTGTGTAATCTCAAGCTAAAGCAACAAAGGTCACAACACCACATTCCTCAGATGTGGTTAATGAAAGATTTAGTGTGTGGTCCACCGCTCACCAGAAAGTCCTCTTCACAGAAAACCCTTCCTCCGACATAGTAGAACGCCTTCCCTCTCAGCCTTCGACCTGCAGAAACACACAGGAAAGACCATTGGCATCATTTCACTCAAGGAATACAGCAGGGCCCGCACCTTGGACTCTTGAGAATGATTTGTATTATTGAATTACAATAAGTAGATTAAAGGAGATTAAAAAAGGTATGTCGACTCAATGATATCATTCTGAAATGTCTTCCTAGTAAATCAAAGCCATGAGGCCGGTCTCAGAAAATAGTTACGGCACTAATGCGTAAAGACCGTGGTGATTAATTACACCCATTGGAAGGTAATGGACCCTCTTGCAATATTCATTATATCCTGCTGAATCCCGGGTAGATAAATCAAACAAATGGATCTCCGGTGAGCTGGTGAAGGGTATATGCAGGACTCCTGAAGTCAAATGTAATACCTTAAGACGTTTTTTAAGACCCTTTCCATACATTTTAAGACCTCATCGCCACTTTGAGTTTTAACCGGTTACATTGGCGACACACTTTACCTCACATTTACTATATACAGTATTGATTGTCCTTCCTCCTTATCTTCCAACCATTTGGACGCAAACTTGCATTTCCCCATAACGATGTTGTTTAACAACCGGCGTAAACGGACCTTCGCGCGCTATCAGTCAGTGAGCGTGCGACGTCCTGTTCAGATGACGTCAAATCCAACGGGATGCCATAAATAAACTACACAGAATCACACTACACACCTACGCAATGATTACAGTCAGGCACACTGTAGAATACAACCTCTTTGGACAATTTATATACTTATTGAAAATAAGCTACAAAATGTAAGACCTTGGGAAATGCCCTTTAATACTTTTTAATAGCCTTCATTTTCGCTAAATTGATTGATCAACTTTTAATACTTTTTAAGACCCCGCGGACACCCTGTGGTGTCTTAATATAATATTGCTGGTTACACAGAGCGTGTTGAGGTAGGACAAGGAACACATCTGGATCGCTGATTAAATCCAATTAGTAGACAGGTGAGAGAGATTAAACACTCTGCTCTATTACATTTCACGGCATCCAGGCCAAGACCTACAGCGACCTGCTATTCTTCTTCTTTGTTCCTTTCTGGGGTCTCTCCACACGCTGCGTATGCTTCCTGTCTGTCTGTGCGCTTTAATAGTTCTATGGTCTGGAGCTGGCTTCTCATAATAACAGTACACACACACACACACACACACACACACACACACACACACACACACACACACACACACACACACACACACACACACACACAGAGTAAAACCACTTCACATAGCTATTTTTGCCCAGGTCCCACAGGAAGAGAAAACATTCCTGGCATTTTCTGAGTGTG